CTACACCCCGCTTTGTCCCCTGAGATGCTGAGCATTTTGCAAGAAGTCAACACAAAAGTATTTGTAGAAAGTTAACATGCACCAGGAAATCTGTGAACAGGTAACTGATCTGAAGATTTGTCCTTTGAGAGCCATTTTTCTGCACCTGTCATCCCAGCACTTTGGAGGCCGAGGCGGGCAGATCACAAGGTCAGGAGATTGAGATGACCCTGTCTCTACTAAAATACAAAAAATTAGCTGGGCATGGTGGCCTGCGCCTGTAGTTCCAGCTACTTGGGAGGATGAGGCAGGGGAATTGCTTGAACCTGGGAGGCAAAGGCTGTGGTGAGCCGAGACTGCACCACTGCACTCCAGCCTGGGCAACAGAGTCTCAAAAAAAAAGAAAAAAGTTACTCATGACTGGCATGGAACCTACTGCTCACCCTAAGCTTTTTCATTTATTTATTTTTAATTTTTTAAGACAGAGTCTTGCACTGTTGCCTGGGCTGGAGTGCAGTGGCGTGATCTTGGCCCACTGCAACCTCCACCTCGTGGGTTTAAGTAATTCTCTGCCTCAGCCTCTCGAGTAGCTGGGATTACAGGTGTGTGCCACCATGCCTGGCTAATTTTTTGTGTTTTTAATAGAGACGGGGTTTCACCATGTTGGCCAGGCTGGTCTTGAACTCCTGACCTCGTGATCCACCTGCCTTAGCCTCCCAAAGTGCTGGGATTACAGGGGTGAGCCACCGGGCCCAGCACCTAAAGCCTTTTCAATGCCTCAACAGCGTCGAAGAAAAGGTAGCGGATCACTAGTGATGCTGCTCATTACAAATGGCATCAAATTTCCTTAATGCCCAAGGCCGTCACCCCCATGCCCGGATTCTCAGAGGAACACTGAGAGCCAGTTGTATCTGCCAAGAGGAAAAAGCAATGACATGAATGAAATGTCAGTTTCTCTCTCCTTTTTGGCCAATTTGGCATCTAAGTCATTAAAGAAAACAGAGGGACTGATGGGGCAACAGAGTCCAGCAGGAAGAGGCTGGTGGGAGTTCTTTAGTGAGGAAAACAGACTCCTGGGCCAGCAGCTCACTGTTCAGATGGGCGAGGCCACTCTAGTGCAGGGCACCTGATCGCCATGGTAACCGAGCACAGAGCACAGAGCCAGCGGCCCCCGTGGTCTCCGCTGTAAGCCCGCTTCCCTTCCTGCAGGGCTGCGGCTGGCTGAGCAAGTTGTCCACAGTACCTAGGCTGGGAGGGACATCCAACCGCCAGTCCACCTTTGAGGCCTGGAATCTCAAGCACTGATCGTTTCTCACCAAGATTCTGGAAGAAGCCAAGCTAGGCTTGCAATGACCCTCCTGCAGAAACCCGCTTCTACCACAGCGAGCTGATCAAGGCATGGAACGGAAGGAGCTACCACCAAGGACAGAGCATCCTCTGGGTTGAGGGCCCCTTGAAAGGATTCCGAGGTAGCCATGGGAGGAACAGGGTATCGGAATCTTATAGCAATCTTAGGACAGAGGCTCGCTCCCCTGCTTCGGGGCAGCAATGCTGAAAGTTTCCACAGAGTCACTAGCAAGGAAGATTCTAGAGAATTTCATTGTCCCTCGTCCCAAGGATTTACTAACAACCACTATCAGAAAGTAGCTCTAGTTTACTAAATTAAATTCCATATATTGGGCCAGGTACAGTGGCCCACGCCTGTAATCCCAGCACTTTGGGAGGCTGAGGCGGGCGGATCACCTTGAGGTCGGGAGTTCGAGACCAGCCTGGCCAAGATGGTGAAACCCCATCTCTACTAAAAATACAAAAACTAGCTGGGTGTGGTGGTGCATGCAGGTAATGCCAGTTACTTGGGAGGCTGAGGTGGGAGAATCGCTTGAACCTAGGAGGTGGAGGTTGCAGTGAGCTGAGATCGTGCCACTGCACTCCAGCCTGGGTGACAGAGAGAGACTCCATCACACACACACATGCACATCTATATACCGCAAATATAGATTTTTCTTTTTTTTTGAGACAGGGTCTCCCTCTGTCACCCAGCCTGGAGTGCAGTGGTGTGATCTTGGCTTATTCCAGCCTCGACCTCCTGGGCTCAAGCAATCCTTCTGCCTCAGTCCCCCACGAAGCTGGAACTACAGGTGTGTGCCACCACGCTCGGCTAATTTTTGCATTTTTTGTAGAGACAGGGTTTCACCATGTTGCCCAGGCTGGTCTCGAACTCCTAAGCTCAGGCGATCTGTCTGCCTTGGCTTCCCAAAGTGCTGGGATTACAGGCATGAGCCACTGTGTGAAACTCTCTTGAAAAGTAACCTCTGATAGTAAAATTTCAGACAAGGAAAGCCATATGATAATCTCTTTTCTTCCTGGCAAGGCCTTCCTTCCAGAGAAACATTTTTGCTTAGCCATCATTATGCTATACAATTTAAAAAATTTTTCCTGGCCGGCCATGGTGGCTGACACCTGTAATCCCAGCACTTTGGGAGACTGAGGTGGATGGATCACCTGAGGTCAGGAGTTCAAGACCAGCCTGGCCAACATGGTGAAAACCCATCTCTACTAAAACTACAAAAATTAGCCAGGCGTGGTGGTAGGCACCTGGAGTCCCAGCTACTCGGGAGGTTGAGGCAGGAGAACTGTTTGAACCCGGGAAGTGGAGGTTGCAGCGAGCTAAGATCATGCCACCACACTCCAGCCTGGGTGACAGAGCGAGATTCTGTTACAAAAAAACAAAAATTTTTCCTGCAATATAGGAAATATTTTTCCATTTTTCCTCCCTAGTCATGATTTTTGCTTCTGCTGGTGGCTTTCCTGACTTCAGGGTGTTGGGTAAGTGATCTGTGCTCAACCTCCCCTCTTGCTGGAATGACACGGGGCAGAGGAGATAGACCCATGTGTCGCCTCTTCACAAAAACCACTGAAAACTTCCACACCCTTTTCAGTTTTATCCCGGGGCTCGTCGCCTTTTTCTGTCTCCTGCTTCCAATGTGCAAGACTCCCTAGAAGTCTTAACCGACTTGATTCTATAAAGAAAATCGATATTTTACAAATACCATTTACATTCCTCTTAGGAGCCAAGCATGTTTTCCTTAGGTTTGAAATGTGACCGTTGTACAAACGTTTCAGCACGGTGCCGACTGTTACAATATAAAGTAAAACGTCATTCTTCAAGGATTTGTTACGTCACAGAGAAGTTTCTTCTGGCACTGATTGTTAGCAGGCCTGGCACTGAGGGAGACTTCCTGTTTTATGTAGGAACAAGGGTTTTTTTTTTTTTTTTGAGATGGAGTCTTGCTCTGTCACCCAGGCTGGAGTGCTGCAGTGGTTTGATCTCAGTTCACTGCAACCTCCACCTCCTGGGTTCAAGTGATTCTCCTGCCTCAGTCTCCTGAGTAGCTGGGATTATAGGTGCCCGCCAACACGCAGGCTACTTTTTTTTGTATTTTTGGTAGAGATGGGGTTTCACCCTGTTGGCCAGGCTGGTCTTGAACTTCCGACCTCAGGTGATCCGTCTACCTCAGCCTCCGAAAATGCTGGGATTACAGGCGTGAGCCACTGTACCTGGCTTACGAGAGGTTTTGATCTGGAAAATGTTAGTCTCTCTCTGCCAAGTTCAGTCCTGCCTCAATGGACTCAAATACTCTCATGAGTTTAAAGAAGGCCAACTTCCTGTTGGAGCAGGGGGGTCAAGACTAACTTTCCATGCAGACGTCCGTAAAACTCCAGCACGAACAGTTACGCCCATTATGCTCCCTGAAGTATTCTGAACTCGAGCCAGTGCTGGATGAGTTCTTGGTACTTCCTAATTAAATTGGCAAAGCCAGAATGAGTGATTCCTTCTCCCGATGGACCCCCACCCTACCTAGAGGTCCAGTCATGAAGACCCACAGAGCAGGCAAGACACAGCCTCCTGACCTCCTGACGTTGGTCAGAATCAAATCAGAACATGGACAACATACAGAACTCTCGACTGGGGACTGAGGTGCTACCGAGGCGCTCCGGCTGCATCTGTGTGCTGGCTTGGGGATCTTGCAGAGGCAGCAGCCGCCGCCACCCAGCTGTTCCCCACGCTACACATGTTCCCCGCGTGAAGCTTGCGGCAAGCTGGCGGGCTTCGTGCTCCTGTTAGCTTTGTTTGTGTTTTCAATGAATCAATGGGATATGGAGACAAATCGACATGTTTAGAAAAATACAGAAAGGGAAAAAGAGGACCAGCTCACAGTGCAGGCTGTTTCTAAAAGCCAGGCTTTTAGAAAAGCTCGTGAAAACCTCGGCTGCAAGTGTGGGCTCGGCGCATGAGGGGGAGGCTGGGGCACGCAGGAGGGAGCCTGGGAGCCGTGGCCTTGGGTCAGCCTCGGTGGGCTGTGTCCAGGCACTGTATGGCAAAGAGAACAAGTCTGGCCAGAGACCTCGGGGCTGTGAAATGCAGACAGGAAGCAGCCGAGCTTCTCAGCCTGCAGCTACCACCCTCCGCTGCCGCCACCTGCTCCCACGCTCTGACCTCAGTCCCCAGCTCTCCATCCGTTCACACCTGAGCCGTCTTCGTGGGCCTCCTGGCCATTTCCTTTCTGCCACCCTACCCTTCCCACTGCTCAAGCTCCAACCTCCCGGTTTGCCTGTTCGGGGGCTGCCTGGATGTCTTCTGGATAGACAAGAAGTCCCCCGACACGACCCCGCCGGGAGAGTGACATGTGCCCGTGCTTTGTCCCTTCCCATCAGACTTAGTCAGCCCACTGAGTGGGGAATCTGTCTCTCAGACCGCAGCCCTGAACACAAGACACAAGGCTCTGGGCGGATGAAGGATGACACTGGGCATGGGAACCTTAGCAGCGTCCCTCCACGCACTGTAGGCTCACTCTCCATTAGAAACTGACACGGACAGGGACCCCGTTTGCAGATACGAGGCCGTATTTCAGCTCCCCAAATCCAGAACGCGGGAGCCTCCAGGGGACAGACCGGAGGACGGGACAACAGAAAAGGCAGTGAGACATTTCATGCGAAAGCAATAGAAATTGGCTGCTTACCTGAGCTGACACAGCCCTGCTGCAGGGGGTCCTGGAGCGATGTCACGGAGTGGAGTACTAGGGTGGAAAAAGGTTGCAATTAAAGGAAGGAACAAAGTCCAGGGCTTCTGGCTTCCTAACTGAGGGTGGCAAGGCCCAGGGGAAGAGCCCGCTCCTCCTGGGGAGGGGCAGGCGCAGGGACCCGCAGGGCAGGGAGGCACTGCTGCTGCAAGGCCAGGCCCCTGGGCTGGGAGCAGGTGAAAGCATTCGCCTATGACATTTTCCGCTTTAGTACCTTTGGCTGACTTTCTTTCCTGACTCCCTTCCTGATTTAGCTACTTGACTTTTACCTGTATTTATGTACAAACAGCATTTTTTAAATTGGTAACTCATTTTCTGCCGCTTATAAAATTAGACAGGCACGATCTTCTCTCCTGAACACTATAGTCAGGCCGATGGTGACAGGCTGTGGAGGAAGGGAACGGTTCTGTCCCCCAGCACCAGTAAACAGCGTGGGGGGGTGTGTGGCGGGCCACCTCTTGGGGCAGAAATTCCCTCCTCCCTCTCTGCATAGTCCAGGGGGGGCTGCTGTGACCAGGTCTTTGCTACAGTGGGGGCAGCCCCTCTCCTGTGGCAGGACCCCCATTACCTGGCCCTTGCTGCTGGCCCTGGACGGGTAGAACACCCTGGCCCAGCTCGCCATTCAGCCAGAGCTGCATCCGGATGAAGGGTTCTCGGCCTTTCTGCGTCAGCTTGCTCCACGGCTTCGGTCGGGACAGCATGTCACTGACACTGCCCTGGGACAGGCCCAGCACCTGGAGTGGCAGCAAACACACACGGCCATCAGTGGCTGGGTATGAGCACAATGCCATGGACGCTGCTGTAATGCACACGAAACACACAGAGGGCGTGTCTAGGGCTGACTTTTGAGCACGGAACCATGGCCTGGTGGTGGTGGCAGCTTGCGGTGGGCTGAGGCCCCTGCACAGGGGGACTTTTGGGGGAGCCATGGTTATAGCCACAGCTTGTAGCTCTCAGGGAGGGAAGAGGTTCTCGTCCCAGGCTCTTGATCCTGCCAAGACTGCAGGCTGTCATCCTGACACTCTGCGGAGGAGGTGTGTATAAGCACCTTGCTCTTTGCCTGGTGGCACCGAGGAAGGCCAAGGTGCCAGGACAGGACCCTCCAGAGGTGGGGCAGTGGTGCCAGTGGGATGGGGGGACCTGGTGTCCTCTGCAAACGCCGAGCCAGGCCACCATTTTGAAAGGTTTGCTTGCTCTGATCATATCCTGATCAAAGGTAGGGGCCCAGAGGGGAACAGGCGGGACCCGGGGAGCCGGCCTGGGAGTGACATCCCGCCACAGATGATGGCCGAGTTGCGTGTACGCACCCGAGTTTCCTGACGCTCCCAGATGGCCATACATATGTATAGCCACAAACACCCCCCACAGGACACAGATGCAGCCCAGGGATATTTAGGGGCTGCATCCGATCACTCTTTTGAAAAGTTCTCAAGTTCCAGAATAAAACTGCACTCACGGGCCAAACAAGTTCAATGTTATTAAGTCTCTGCTAAATTTAAGGCATGAGCACGAATGTCTATTTCAATGTTCTCAGATGGTATTTTTGTAACACTGAACTAGAAATCTCAAGGGGCTTGAAATACTGATCCTCATTTCTAGTCGCCCCCCTTCACCTTTTGCAAAATCAGGGCAAAGCTGGCCCCTGGACATCACCCAGATTCACGGCACAGCATATGACAAACACTGAGTGGAAGGCGGGGCGGGGAGTGCAGGATGGCGCATGTAGGGACCCTGGCTATGCGGGGGGAGTGTGGGATTGTCCCTACTGATTCAGCCATGTGCCCCCTCAGGAAGGTGCCTTTTAGGGGAGGGATGCTCCTCATTCCATTCAGCACCCCATTATTTAATCTAAAATGATAGGGGGTTGGGAGGCCAAGGCAGGAGGATCGCTTGAAGTCAGGAGTTTGAGACCAGCCTGGCCAACGTGGTGAAACCCCGTCTCTACTAAAAATACAAAAATTAGCTGGGCATGGTGGTGGGCACTTGTAATCCCAGCTACTCGGGAGGCTGAGGCAGGAGAATCACTTAAACCCTCAGGGAGGTGGAGGGGAGGTTGCGTGAGCTGAGATTACATCACTATACTCTAGCCTGGACTCTGTCTCAAAAATTAAATAAATAAAATGATTCTGGGGCATGATGGTTGCTTCAGATTTGGCAGGCACAGTTAACCCTCATCCTCCTGAATCTCAATGACCAGGAAAGTGCCAAGAACAGAAAGGCCCGGAAGCTCATCCGTGCATGATCACACCTTCCTGGGCCAGGGAAGGATGGTAGGGAAACACGGGCCATGGATGGCGGGGGCCATCCCTGAGCTGTGTGTCCCTGCGCTGACTGCTTGACCTCTCTGGCTGAACAATATCCAAGAGTCACACAAGAAAGGAACAATCATGCTCTCTGCAGCTTTTTCTTGTAAGTCCCTTTTGGCCCTCTGAGTGCTGGTCGTCCCTCTATGCGGTGATCGGATGAGATCTTTTTCGGCCAAAGCAGCCCGCAGGGGTGTCTCTCAGCTCCCCTTGGCAGCAAAAGCTGGATGTGGACTCGGCTGCCAGCCAGCTTGGGGCAAGTAGTGAACTTCCCTAAGCCTTGGTGTCCCTCCCTGTCAAATGGAGACTTTAATCATCCGCCTCCCAGTGTAACTGACAGGTCAAAAGGGTAGCACACAGGCGAGGGGCCGAGCCCAGAACCTGGCTGCAGTCGGGGATCAGCAAATGGGATCAGGGGCTGGAACGTTCACCAGCCATACCCTGGGAAGTCTGGGAGCGAAGGATTCCTTATGCTCCACTCTTGGGTGAGTCGAAATGGGTGATGGCCACGGGCTCTGGGATAGACACTTGGTCTTCAGCAAGGAGAGGAGATGGGAGAACCAAAGCCCCTGATCAGATCCCTTACCTTCTCCCCGAAGATTCTCTGGCAGATGCCATTCTTGGCCAGTTTCTCCTTAACCTGCCGGGTGAGCTCGATGGTGTCCACCTCCTGGTACATGTAGACCTCGTACTGCTCGGGGGTCAGCGGGGGGACTGAGGGCTTGGTGGGCTTGGACATGGGCACGATCGGGGAGGATGGCAGGGGGCTGTTCTGCGGTGTCTCGCTGCGGCTGGCCCCAGTCAGACTCAGCTCTGAGCTCTGGGAGTATGGGGACTCCGCGCTGGGCCACTCCTTCCAATACTCTGACGACGCAGGTCCCTGGAGCTGACTTCGCTCCGCCCGAGGCTGGCTGCCACCGCTGCTGCCGCCGCCGCCCTTCTCTTTCCCGCTGCCCGCTTCTTCGGCCTTGGCCTCCTCGGAGGAGGCGGTGGCGTTCCTTCTCTCCGGCTGCACCTGCACCGCGCTCCACCAGTGATCCTTCCATGCGCCGCTGCGGCCCACCTCGTTTTTCACCTGTCTCAGGACCCCTTGTGCACAATCAGCCACTCCCTGGGGGTCCAGCCCGGGGGTGTCCTGGGCCTCCTTTTTGAGGGGCGGGGGGTTTGGCAGAGCAGAGGCACCCGCCTCGGGAGCTGCGGGGGGCTTCTTCAGGGAGATGGCGAGAGGCGGGTAGGTGGACACGGTCGGCATGGACGAGGTGGACAGAAGCTTGGGGGTGAGGATGGTGATGTCGCTCTGGGACAGCGGTGCCGGCTTTAAGGTGGGGTCGAGGGCGGCCTGCTGGGCCTCCATCTCTCGGCGGGCTTGCTGCAGGATGGAGCGGATGGCATCATCGGAGTTCCCACTGCCGGATGCGGAGGAAGGCTGGGCTGGCTCTGCTGCATGAAGGAAGGGGTGAGACTGTGGCGGGGTGGCCCCCTTCAGCTGCGGACACACTTCTCACCCTAACTTGACCTACCGCAAAGTCTGGGTTATTTGGGAGAACCACACTGTGTATTTCCCCAGCACATCCCCTGTCAGTGATAACATTCAGGCATCTCGTCTAAATCAAGAACCAGGCCCTGAGGCTGTCGCTCGATGACCTGGTGGTCCGTGGTACACACTAGTGTGGAGGGCAATAAAGGGGGAGTCAGTGAAAATGCCCTCCTGGACCTCCTTTCCCTGATAATTTTTTTTTTGAGACGAAGTCTCGCTCTGTTGCCCAGGCTGGAGTGCAATGGCACGATCTCAGTTCACTGCAACCTCCACCTCCCAGGTTCAAGAGATTCTCTTGCCTCAGCCTCCTGAGTAGCTGGGACTACAGACGTGTGCCACCACGTCCAGCTAATTATTATATTTTTAGTAGACACGGGGCTTCACCATGTTGGTCAGGATGGTCTTGATCTCTTGACCTTGTGATCCGCCCACCTTGGCTTCCCAAAGTGCCAGGATTACAGGCATGAACGACCGTGCCTGGGCCGAGAATTCTTTTTTTTTTTTTAAAGAGACAGGATCTCACTCTGTTGCCCAGGCTGGAGTGCAGTGGCATGATCATGGCTCACTGTAGCCTCCACCTCCCTGGCTCAAGCAATCCTCCCAGCTCAGCCTCCCAAGTAGCTGGGACCACAGGTGCATGTCACTGTGTCTGGCTAGTGTTTTAAGAGACAAGGTCTCACTGTGCTGCACAAGCTGGTCTTAAAACTCCTGAACTCAAGCCATCCTCCCCCACTGGCCTCCCAAAATGCTGGGATTACAGATGTGAGCCACCACACCTGGCTTCTGAAAATTTTTATACTTAGTATTCATTTTCCTGTGCTATATTCTGAAATGCGAGTGGTTCTGTCAAAGCTGAGGTGTATAATTTCTGGGAATAATTCCAACAAGGGGCCAGTTACAGTAGCTCATGCCTGTTATCCCAGCACTTTGGGAAGCTGAGGTGGGCAGATCACTGGAGGACAGGAGTTTGAGACCACCCTGGCCAACATGATGAAACCTGTCTCTACTAAAAACACAAAAACTAGCTGGGCATGGTGGCATGTGCCCACAGTCCCAGCTACTTGGGAGGGTGAGGCAGGAGAACCGCTTGAACCTGGGAGGCAGAGGTTGCAGTGAGCTGAGATTGCCCCTCGCAACAGAGTGAGACTGCATCTCAAAAAAAAAAAAAAAGGTAACTATTAGGTAAATGCAGATCACACAGACCTGCTTCTCTCTATGCGCCTAAATGCTTGAGAACAGGCGTTCATTATTGTTCAAAAAAAAAAAAAATAGTTAATTACCGCTGACCAGAGCACTCATGACAATTCTCTTAATTAAGTTTGGAAGACAGTGGGTGAAGAAATGGAAGCTGTACCAGTTTTCTGCACTTGGAGCTCCCGCTTGGCTTGCTCTAGGATGGACTTGATGGCTTCATCGGAGCCAGTCTCGGAGGCTCGGATCCGGGTGGTGATGTTACCTGCGGGGAGAAGTTGCACCAATGACATCAAACCCAAACTTCGGATGGAAGTCAGCGCTGCGTGATGACATCATTCCGATAAACAGCCCCACCGCGTGGAGGCCTGTGACACAAGGAGGCAGATGTGGCCTCCCAGTGGCCTGTGTTTGCTATGAGTGTGACTTCACAGCGACACTGGGCAGGAGGGGTTTCCTGCTCAGCTGACCTTATGGTCAAGGTTACTCTGCCAGAGCCAGACACCACCCGTGGGTTAGTACCCGGGAGGACCGATCATTTGATCCATATATATATATACACAAAAGGTGAGTGATTAAAAGGGAATGTTTTTCCTGAGTCACTTAGGAGCAACTGCTGTGGCTTGGGACTGACTATCCTCGGGGTGGGATATTTACTGGAGGCTGGTGTCCCACACAGGATCAACGGGAAGGGAGGGCAGAGGGTTTGAGGCTGATTGTCTATCAATCATTCAGATGCACAGGGTGAAAAAAGACAGGCTAAACTTAAAAAATTGTTTGCATCTATGATCACATTATAATGTCTTTGTAAATGTAAAATTTACAAACGAGGATAGGAACCTGCGGAAATTCCTAAGGGGTGAGGGTGGATTCTTTCGGCCACGTGGTGACGTTTGGTGCAGGCACACTTGCAGATGAGATAAACTGTGACGGTGGCCCAGCGGCCGGCCCCAGCTCTTTCTGGAAGCTGCCCGGATAGTTTAATTTCTCACTGCCTTCCTAAATAGGAACCACTGCATTCAAAACAAGCATACCACCGTTTAAAAACAAGTCTGCCACCGGGATGATGTGGGCTGCGTCCAGTCTGTGGGACCTCGAGTGTGTTTCCGAGTTAAAAATACAAGGAAGCAGCAGTATTTAATGTGATGGGGTCACCTGCCTTTTCTCAGAGCAACTGCTGTTATTCTTTCACCTGCATCTGAGAAATAGCGGACTGGGTAATTAGGATCTGGAGTGGGCTGGGATTCAGACCTGGGGGGCTTAGCTTGGTGGATGCCACTTCTTACCCCTGCCTGTGCTTAGGAGAAGGCAGGCAGCTCAGGAGGAAGGGCTGGGTGTGGTTGAACCCGTGCCTTGTTTTATACTTACTAGCTGTTTTTCCATCAGGTTCCAGGCCAGAATCACATGGCATAGTTTTAACCCAAATACACAGCTAAGGACATGCTGCTTCCCTAGGTTACTGACTGCAAAGAAAACACCTGCCTGCGACATACCTTCAGACCCATTTCTTCGTTTCGGTACTTCCTGAAATAGTCTGTTCAGGCTCTGGCCTGGATTCTCTGTTGAAAAACAAGTGTGGTAAGAACAAAACAATCAGGGGAATGGTGGTGTTGACGATATGGGCTGTGTGACATGAAATCTGAGCCGCCTGTCACTAAAGAAAGGGCTCAGGGCTGCCTGTGCAACTCGGGAGTTTCTAGAATCTTCTGAGAGGCCCTTCCCTGGCTGACCAGCCCACAGAGGCCATGGGTCTGCTGCAAAAGGAGATCGGGGAAACCTCAGGAGCGACCTGCGGTGCCAGGGCCAGGGAGGTCCAAGGGATGGGGGGACTGCCTTGAAGGAGGATCACCCGCCAGCCCCCAGAACAAAGCTCACATTAATCATCCAGAGACATTCCATTTCGGTTAACATCCTCATAAAACACTGCATGTTCTCGGTGCAAACTGATGCTGTTCAAAACCTTTCCCTGCTCTGCTTGAGTCTAAATTTCAGGGTGTTTCAAATACATCTGATGAAATGCCCTCTCTACAGCTCTGTTGACATGGCACATTGATCCCCTGGTCTTCAATAAGAAAGGAACTTTGTTTTTTTTTTTTTTTAATTTGAGGCAGGCTCTCATTCTGTTGCCCAGGCTGAAGTGCAGTGGCTCAGTCATGGCTCGCTGCAGCCTCCACCGTGACCTGAGCTCAAGCCATCCTCCTGCCTTAGCCACTCAAGTAGCTGGGACCACGGGCACATGCTACCACGCCTGGCTCATCTTTTGATTTTTGGGTAGATCAAAAGAACACAAAATCTATGTTGCCCAGGCCGGTCTTGAACTCCTGGACCCAAGAGATCTGCCCATCTCAGCCTCCCAAACTGCTGGGATTACAGGTGTGAGCCACTGCACCTGGCTGGGATTTTCGAAATTATAAATGCGACTGACATTTTATCTTTTTCCGGAGGGTGGGGTAGGAAGGGTGTTTGAATAAAACTTTTGTGTATTTTACTCAAGCCAAACCTGTCTTGCTCATAAGGCTACACAAATCACCTAATGGACAGTGAATGATGCAGGGAAAGTGACCACAGGACACGCCCTCTTCTGGTTGGTGGGAAGAGGGGAGGTGTCTGTGATGTGCTCTCCCTACAGAACCGGCTCTGCATGAGGATCCAGCCCAGTCAACATTGCTGCTATGGGGCTGGAAGGGTCCCAAGGGCTCCTCCCAAAAGTTAGACCAGCCCTGAAGGCCAATTGGACCCATGGCCACTAAGCATACCGAGACGCTATGCGCCACGTAGTGCAATTCCCTCCGATACGATCTACGGTGTGGAAATACTGGGTTTCCTAAGTGCGGAGTGCTGAGTGCGTTTCAAAGGTAAGATCTCCAAAATCTAACAGCCTTAACTCATGCCGGGCCACCCTTGAGCTCTGGATGTGGCAGAAGTAGAGAGAGCTTTACCTGATGTGATGCACAAATGTTCCGTCACGCACACACAGACACACACACATGCATGCACACACACGCGTGCAACTCCGTGACGGGCTCACACGCTGGCGCCACCCAACGCCAGTCTCTCACCTCTTTGTCTGCCTTGGATGCTACGGAGGGCCAGGATGTTCTGCTCATCGGAGAGGAACTGTTTCATCTTGTGAAATGGCTCCTTGCCGCGAACAGTCAGTTTATTCCATGGCTTGGGCCGGGCCAGAATCTCGCTCACGGACCCTTGAGACAGTCCCAAGACGTAATGTCCGAAAATCCGTTGTCCGATATTGTGCTTAATCAGCTGCTCTTTGACCTGCCGGGCGATTTCTGCAGTGTCCATGTCCTCGCCCTCGGAGACGCTCCCAGCACTTTCTGACTGGCTGGGGGATGGGGCCATGCCATTGACATCTGGGCTTTGTTGTAATGGACTTTGGGAAGATATGGAGTTTGTGCTGTATGGACCTGTTGAAAAAATCATGCTTGTGCTTCCGGCTTCCTGCATAGCCTTGGAGTAGAAGGACTGCATTAGCTGTCGCTGGAGAAGAGAGTTTAGTGCAAATTTTCCTGTAGAAGCCAGGGGTAGGCTGGGGCTTGCCAGGGATGAGCTGAAAAAGTCTTGACTTAACCCCGCTGGTGAGAACTGGTGTGTACCATTAGTATTGGAAGCCTGCTCCCCCGGGTTGCGGGGCAACTGAGAAGGAGGGGGGGCCGGCAAAGATCCCGGGCGCCGACCTTCAGGCTGGTCTTTACCTTTTCTCCTGGCTGACCCTACAAGGAAGGGCAAACAGAATGCATTATGGGGGATTCCAAAGGGGGAAACAAAAACCAAGACCAAAATGCAAAAGTTTGCCCCCGCAGAAGGGAAAACATAAAAAAGAGTGCAGGTTTTTTACAAGGGCCAATGAGGTGGGTTGGTTTGTTTTCCGATTCAATTTGTAAGTCAGCCAAACGAGGCTTCCCAAAACAAGCAACATGCATTCATGTTTGCGCCTTTCTTGTACGTTGCAGCCTGGAGAGTCCCCTTGACATAGATTCAAACTCCTAGCGTGACAAGGAGCCGGTGACACACACAGGGAAGAGTTGACGGGTCACAGGCCTCTTACTGGGCCTGCTGGCCCCGGCCGGAGAAGCAGCAAACACTGACATTTTAGGACCAATGGATCCGTTCGCACCTCTTGCTCGGAGGCGGATGCACCGTACTGAGCCCCCTCGATTTGGAGGCGCACACCCGTTTTGAGAATGCAATACCATCGGAGCCCGAGACACCGGTACGCGTTTTACCACCTGCCCAGACCAGAAGCACAGTCAGTGACGCCACCGTTTGTGGGATGAGCCAAGAAAGGCTAAGGATGGGGGACGCGTCCCCAGGGGAAACCTGACCAAGGAAGAAAAACCTCTACTGGACCACGCAGGCCGGGGCCGTCCCTGGAAACACCACCAGAGCGAGGCTGGGTTCCCAGTGCCCCTGGCCCCTGTGCAACACAACTAGACATAGATCAGAAAAGCCGACGCCCTCGGAGCTGTCCCTCCTGGGGTCTCCAGCCCCACTGCCCCTAACTGACCTCCGCAGAACCTCTGCGGCTGGCCCGACTCGGCATCCAGCTGTAAGCAGGGCGGGGAGGGGAAGGGAGGAGCGGTGAGGAGGAGGGTACCCAACACGCGTTAGTCAAAGGTTCTCGTCAACTGGCGCTTTTCTGGCCGTGCATCTGCCCAGACTCACGATTCACTTTTCTCTTCCTCGAACGACCCCTGGAAGTGAACCAAGCACCGCAGACGCGCGAAGCCCGGCCAACCTACCGCTCAGGTCGCTGTTGGAGATGCGCAGCGCGGCGTTCTCGGACTGCAGCGATCGGTTCTTCTCCAGCAACAGCACCTCCAGGGGCTTGGCCGCGTCCTAGACGGGGCAGAGCGGCGGGGAGGGCTCACTGCAGGGCCAGCCACCAGGCCCCGGGCCCCACCTCCCTCCATCTGTCCAAGTTCCCACCCAGCTCTCGATGTGACTCCCAAGTGGGCTACAGACAGCTGATTTCCTCGTAAGACGTTTAACACATGTGAAAAACAACTTCCCTTTAGAAAGAATGGATTCTAGTGGAACTCATTTTTCTTCTTAGACTTGCATAGGTTCTAAACAATTAATTATTCTCTCATCTGTTCCTAAACTCCAGTGACCTGAACCGCCTCATTCGGCCATAGGACTGGTTACCAAGCCACAAACCCCTGTTCAAAAGTAACTGTAAAGGGAACTTTTCTTTTTGCCAGCCACAAAGATGTTGGCTGTCTTCTGGCATCAGGAGTCAGATTCCACTTATGATGTCAATTTTATTTTATTTTATATTTTATTTTTTTGAGATGGAGTCTTGCTCTGTCACCCAGGCTGGAGTGCAGTGGCATGATCTTGGCTCACTGCAACCTCCCACCTCCTGGGTTCAAGCGATTCTCCTGCCTCAACCTCCAGAGTAGTTAGGACTACAGGCGTGTGCTAGCATGATCAGCTCATTTTTTATCTTTTTGGTAGACGTGGGGTTTTACCATGTTGGCCAGGCTAGTCTTGAACTCCTGACCTCAAGTGATTCACCAACATCAGCCTCCCAAAGTGTGGAGATTACAGGCGTGAGCCCCCGCACTTGGTCTGGGATGTCAATTTTAATCAGCCACCAGATGACTGTGGGCCCCTGTCATTCTGCTCCTGAGCCTTCTCTACTGAGGTAGCTTGTAACTAAAGTTCCTAAACCAATCCACTTTTGGCTGCTCTTTAATGCAATTAAAAAAAATAAGAGACTCACTCTGTTGCCCAGGTTGGGATAACGCAGTGGTGCAATTGTAGCTCACGATAGCCTTGAACTATGGGGCTCAAATGACCTTCCTGCCTCAGCCTCCCAAGTAGCTGGCACCACAGGCGTATGCCATGGTACTTGGCTATTTTCTTCTTTTTTATAGAGACATGGTCTTGCTATATTGCCCAGGCTGGTCTGGAACTCTTGGCCTCAAAGTAATCCTCCTGCCTTGGCCTCCGAAATTGCTGGGATTACGGGCACGAGCCACTGAGCCTGTACTTCTTAAACACAATCTGAAATTGTTTTTTATTTATGTTTAGAACCTGCTCAAGTGAAATCACAATTTTACTTCGGTTACCAGTTTGGAAAACGTTAGCTTTTCTCTTTTCTCCTCTTTTTAGTGAAAGATAATTTGCTTTTTGGCAGTGCCCATCTCCTGTTAGCCAGGGACAAAGTGATCCCTTATTCATCCCCAGCTTGGCTTTTGATCTGTGCCCATGCCTGGTTCATGCCTTGGACACATGGAAAGAAAAGGAGAGAAAAAAAGATAATTTGCTGTAACTTGGTTAAATGTTCCTGAGGTATGACTCACTGGCTGTAAGGGAGAGGCTTCGTACAAACAGTGAGATAGTGGGGCAGGCCGGGGGAACCGGCAGTGACCAGCAGCTGGACCGCTGGTGCTGACCATTGAATAAGACGCGTACCTGTGTCCCAGCGCCCTCGGATGGTGCAAACTCCATGGACTTCAGAATGCTGCAAGAGCACGACAGAGCGGTTATTTCATTTTTTTCTGACAGTCTCACCCTGTCCCCCAGGCTGGAATGCAGGGGCATGATCTCGGCTCACTGCAACCTCCACCTCCCAGGTTCAAGCGATTCTCCTGCCTCAGCCTCCCGAGTAACTGGGATTACAGGCATGTGCCATCACGCCCAGCTAATTTTTGTATTTTTGGTAGAGACAGTGTTTCATCATGTTGGCCAGGCTGGTCTCCAACTCCTGACCTCAAGTGATCCGCCCACCTCGGCCTCCCAAAGTACTGGGATTACAGGCGTGAGCCACCACACCCGGCCCAGAGAGGTTATTTTCCACTTATACTTTTGACAACAGCCACATTAATAAGCATTAACATTACAATTTCCTGCTCTCCAGGAACTGAGGAACTGTCAACTTTAACAACTTCCCTGGCAGTAATAGAATCTGATAATGTCTCTAGAATAACTATTCAACTAGCAGTTGGCTGGCAAAAGTTTCTTGCCTAGCATGTAAATCATCCCATATGGAATCACACCAGGTCTGTTCAGAGTATAATTTTAAAGTTTAATACAGACATAACATTGTTGCAAGAGGAATCTATTTGTAAAACTTAAAGGGAAGGAAAAAGTTGTAAGGAGAAGTCAGAGAGAGAGGAACCCACCAGGGCGGCCACTGCCCACACCTCACTCCTAACTGGCACCCAGCTGGGGACCAGGGGACAAAGGCAAAGAGCAACATCCTAGACTCGGATGGCTCAGAAGCGAAGCGAGGTAGGCAGATCCCCTCTGCAGCCCTAGGTTGGGGAAGGAGCGCAATGATAAAGGTGTGGCAAGAGAGAGTGACTTCTCCCTGCCTTGTTCTCACTGGCACTGAAAAGGGCCGTGCCCTGATCACCAAAGTCTCTGGGCTGCCTGAATGAGTCCCGGTCCCCAGGATTATTACTGTGTCTTGAATTCCTTTTGCTGTGGATGTCCCTTTTTTGCTGAGTTTACCAGGGAGAAGAGGGGAAGTGGGGCCACGTGGCTTCCAAGGAGTTGCAAGTGTTTCTTCGAAATACCAAGCATGGAAGAGTGAGACCCAGACCAGGCTGGCTGCACCGTGAGATTTACGACTTGCAGGTACCGAGTCAACCGGACCTTCACAGCATCCCTGCAGCCACGATATTGGCCTCTGTCCCCCTGGTGTGTGCCACCACACCCGGATAATTTTTGCTTTTTTCTTTTTGAGATGGAGTCTCACTCTATCACCAGGTTGGAGTGCAGTGGTGAGATCTCAGCTCACTATAACCTCCGATTCCCAGGTTCAAGCGATTTTGCTGCCCCAGCCTCCCAAGTAGCTGGGATTACAGGCATGCACCACCGTGCCCAGCTAATTTTTATGTTTTTAGTAGAGACGGGGTTTCACCACGTTGGCCAGAATGGTCTCAATCTCTTGACCTTATGATCCGCCCACCTTGGCCTCCCAAAGTGCTGGGATTACAGGCGTGAGCCACTGCACCTCATCCAATTTTTCCATTTTTAGTAGAGGTGGGGTTTCACCATGTTGGCCAAGCTGGTCTCGAACTCCTGACCTTAGGTGATCCGCCAGCCTCGGCCTCCCAAAGTGCTGGCATTACAGGTGTGAGCCACTGCGCCCGGCCAAAAGGGGTTTCATAAGATGGAATCCTGCCCTTTGTTTCCTATTTTCTTTAGCATTATGTAATAAAAGACCACATGTCTTTTCTTCTACACATTTTACCAGCAACCTGTTATCTGCTGGTCACCGTGGAGAATCAGAACCATTCCTGGTCCGTACTCCAGGAAATTTACAGGCCATTACAGGTAATAGGCAAGACTCCAAGTGGTCCATTAAGAGACAGAACTTGTGGGAACCCCAGCAGGAGGGATCTTGTTGTGTTGGAGACCACGTCTCAGCGTCATGATGAACAAGCATTTGAGAATGGGCCCTGAAGGGACACGGTGTCTTATGCTGCAATGCATGAGGATCTGAGGTCAGCACAGCCTGTCGCGTGGGGGTGGGAAAGTGGAACTGGGACAATGATGGGAAGGGGACGTCTGCAGGAGCTGAAGAGTGCACTTGGTTCACCGGGAAGTGAGTGGGAAGCTAGGAGCACATTTGGGCAAAGAAGCTGGCTGAGTGGGGCTTCCAGGCGTGCACATGGTGGCGGGGCTTGTCATGTGTAGATGCAAAAGAAAGGGTCAGCAGGAATGCCGTGACAAGCGGGGTAGGGGCAGCCCTGTAGTGGGGTAGGGGCAGCCTGCGGCCCAGCGGGGGATGGACAGGAGGCAGTAGACAGGTATGCGCTGCAGGCTGGAGCCGCAAGCCTTGGCTCCCAGGGAGTGAGGTGAACTTGGAGGAGGAGGCAGAAGAGGAGGAGGAAGAGGAATACTAACTCTCAGGCAGGGCGAGGCTGGGAAAGGCCTTCACAGCAGGGTTTCTCTGACTCAAAATTAGAAGGCCCAATTTCCTTTCCTTTTCTTGGAAGAGGGAAAAAGAGGGAAAGGAAGGAAAGATCGGGATAGGGTTGGCAGGTAGAGAAGGTTAACCAGGTAATGTTTAATAATAAGTTACAGAGGCTGGAACTGAGAGGGGTGTAGGGGCCGTCTGAGGAGGTGTCGGCAGAGGTTTTGCAGCTGGAGAGGGGATGAGACCGCTCAAGGGAGAGCATGGTGGGGATAGCAGATGCCAGGGAGGCTAGGGTCCCAGGCGAGAGAAGGCGGCTGGCCATGGAAGTGAGATGGTTCAAGAGGACGACCGAGGAGCTTTTCTTAGCGGAATGGAATCAACAATACAAAGAAAACCTGGTGAGTGGGTGTGGGCTCATCTTAAGAGGAGAAATGGAAAACAGCAGCGAGAAGGGGCTGATGGGACAGCAGAAGCGGGCAGGAAGGCAGGGATCCGAGGTCTAGGGCAGAGAGGGGGCAGTCTGCAGAGACAGGAGGTGGTGCCCAAGACCAGAGGCGGGGTTCCAGGTGGGGACGAAGCGAAGGGAGTCTGTCCCTGGCAGAGAGGGCTAGGGTGTCTGCAGTTAGAAGTTGCGGTAACAGTGATGAGGGCAGGGATGAACCCCCGAGGAAGCCCCAAACTAGCAGAGCACCAGCAGGGAGAAGCACAGGGGGACCCGTGGGGCCGGTCACCACGCCCTAGGCAACCTTCGTTTGCAGTGTTTAAGAGTGAAGCGAGGATGCCAGCGGGGAGCTTGGAATGGCTGCCGGTCCAGGGGGAGCTGTGTGCACACAGGGTCTGACCACAGGCTCCCGGCTGGCTAGGGAGGCCAAGGAGCCTGGAGCATGACGGATGCAGGGGACAGGTAAGGACCAGGGCCTGGGAGCTCCAGAGTGCCAAAGCGGGCTCAGGGAGAGGAGGCAGCAGTGGGGGCTGGTGGCCACGTCGGGAACTTTGAAGCCTGAGAACTGAGCATGCCATCGTTAGCCCTGAAAAGATGACAAGTTTTCAGCTACAGCCTCACAGATGGAGAATAGAGACTGGAAGATGGAGTTCCCAAGTCCCGGAGGCCAGGGCAGCGTGAGGCCATGCGCCCGCCTTCAACCCGAGAACGGTTCCCTCCTGTGCTCTGCTTCTGTGTGGGGCATTTATTGTTGCAGAACAAGGTCTTATCTGATCTCTTCTGTAAAGGCGCTATGCCCCGATTCCCTGCATTCTGGAACACTTGAACTGCACAGCTTTTAGAAAAAGTCCAAAGAATTCAGGGACAGGCCTGAGTGCAAATGTCCACAGCACTGGGTAGCCCAGGACACCATGGAGTGGCGGAGCTCTGGCTGAATTTACGGGCATCTGCTGGGCCAAAGGGCAGGGCGCCAAGGCTGCCTGTCACCGGCCTGGCATTGTTAGCAGATGGCCCTAACGCGCCCCAGCTCGTGACGGGCCACAGGGGTCTCCGTACTTACTTCAGCTCTTTCTTCACCTCTTCATAGTCAGCCTGGCCTTTGAGTTTTTCTTCCAGTTGCTGAAAACAGAGAAGAACTTGATCAGTGGCCATGTCTGACAACAGCATGACGGACCTCACGACGGCATTCACCGAATGGCCAGCTGTGCCTGCGAGGGGAAGCCAGCCCTTGCGAATGGCAGTCGACAGTGCTGGGGACATCTTTTGTCCTTCACGCTCCTGGCCTGCCCAGTGTCAGTGCATACCCAGGTACGGCAGTGCCCATAAGGTTGCTGTAAGGTTGTAATGTATAACTTAGCCAAACAGAATGAAGGCTGGGTGTGGTGACTCACGCCTGTAATTCCAGCACTATGGGAGGCTGAAGTGGGACTGCCTGAGCCCAGGAGTTTGAAATCAGCCTGGGCAACATGGTGAGGCCCCATCTCCACAAAAAATAAAAAAATTAGCCACGTTGGTACATGCCTGTAGTCCCAGCTACTTGGAAGGCTGAGGTGGGAGGATCGCTTGAGCCCAGGAGTTGGAGGCTGCAGTGAGCTATGATTGTGTCGCTGCACTCCAGCCTGGGTGACAGAGTGAGGAGTGGAGACCCTGCCTCTTAAAAGAAAAAATAAAAAAAATAAAAAAGCACCCTCCACCCTGAAAGAAAAAAAAAAAACAAAACAGAAGGAAGAATCTTTGCAGAGGAGGAAAGGTCCACTTCGTAGGAGGCACCATGAAACAGCAAACAGAAGGAGGAGAGGCTTTCCTGGTGTCTGAAGAGCAGCGTGTGGTTTTAAACAAAATATGTTAGACTGAGGGACTCATCTGGCTGGTTGTCAACACCTTTGGGGGGACCCCCGCTAACGAGAGACACAGCCCTTCTGTGTTGAGAGTCGGCATCAAATAGGCATCAGGGCAAACGCCTTTGCACTCCTGAACCCCAGGATGCTGGGATTTAGGACTAGGGGCCTATTCAGCTGGGTGCTTGGTGGTTTCCCTGACAGCCAGCTGGTCTTGGTCCTGCAGGGAGGACTCTGCCTAAGAGATGCTGCTCCCTCTCAGGGGCCTAGGAGAGTGATGGCACATTTCCAAAGTACGGTGATGCTCTAGTGGGTTCCAGAAAGGTCTGTGAGCCCACTGGGGATTGACGTGGCTGGTTTTTTTTTTTTTTTTGTGGAGATGGACCCTCACTCTGTCGCCCAGGTGGGAGTGCATTAGTAGCGTGATCTTAGCTTGGCTCACTGCAACCTCCGCCTCCCAAGTTCAAGCAATTCTCCTGCCTCAGCCTCCCCAGTAGCAGGGATTACAGGCACACAGCACCACTCCTGGCTAATTTTTTTTTGCATTTTGAGTAGAGACGGGGTTTCACCATGTTGGCCAGGATGGTCTCGAACTCCTGGCCTCAGGTGATCCGCCGGCCTCAGCCTCCCAAAGTGTTGGGATTACAGGTGTGAGCCACCGCACCCAGGCTGATGTGACTGTTTCTGCCCACAGCTCTGCAGGGCTTTCTTGCTAGCAGAGCCATTGCTATGGGGTGGTCCGTAGGGGGTGCTTTCTTCTCTGAAGGTGTTTTTGGACTAGTTTGCTTTTGATCTTTCCTAAAGGTAGCTCCTAGGAGGAAATGAAGCAACTCCACATAAAACAAGAACATGGAGGGGCAGTGCTGGGAGGGTGCTCTGGCCATTCCGCATGTTTCCAAGCTAGAGGTGAACAAATGTCATTCTTGTCCTTCTTCTTCTTCTTCTTTTTTTTTTTTTTTAAGAGAAAGGGTGTTGCTCTGTCACCCAGGCTGGACTGCAGTGGTGCGATCATAGCTCACTGCAGCCTCCAACTCCTGGGCTCAAGCGATCCTGCTGCTCTAGCCTCTTGAGTAGCTGGGACTACAGATGCACATCACCATGCCTGGCTACTCTTTATTTTTATTTTTTATTTTTTAGAGATGGGGTCTTCCTATGTTGCCCAGACTGGCCTCAGACTCCTGAGCTCAAGTGATTCTTCCACTTCAGCTTTCCCAAGTGTTGGAATTACAGGCATGAGCCACCATGCCCAGCTGTAGGTGCCCCTTCAGGTTCTCCTTGACAGGCCATGGCTAACACCACTGTTTACAGTCAACTGAGAACATTCTAGACTTTGGGGAGGAGATGGTGCCATCCAAATCCTAACCTGTCTGCTGTTTACAAATTAATCACTAATTAGTTAATAATTAGTGATTAATTATTCAATAATAATTAGAGATGAGGTTTCATCATGTTGGCCAGGCTGGTCTCGAACTCCTGACCTTGGGTGATCTGCTTTCCTCAGCCTCCTGAAGTGCTGGGATTACAGGCTTGAGCCACTGTGCCTGGCCTAAGTCCCTAAGATTCTAATGGAACATACAGAGAAAGCAGGGGAAATGACTGAAGTTCAGTAATGGTGCTGGGACATTTGGTTTTCCATATGAAAAATATGCAAAAATAAAAATATATATACTATCTAGGTTTGTGCAAGCACACATTATTAATAACTAATTAACTAAAACTCCCGGGCTCAAGCAATCCTCCCGTTTTGGCCTCTCAAAGCGCTGGGCTTCCAGTTGCCCAGCCTTCATTGGGCTCGTCTTTTTCTGTTGCCTTTGTTGGCGATTTCTCGTGTGTGCCTTTCCCACTGCATGAATTGCTCTGCCCTAACTCCTTTTGAAAGCCTCCTGCCAAATTTGTATATTATAATGGTTTTCTCAGTCCTAATAAACAGGAGGTAGAAGGCACTCATTTTTCTACAAAAGATTCTCAGAAGGTGCTTGTCAAGAAGTTATTACTTCATTCTCTTCCCTATCATCACATAGCAGGAAGTACTCAGGTACTGGTGCTCCCTTGCAGGACATTATTCAGTGTCTCTGGGATCCAAAATGCACGTCAGACAGTCACGATCACCGAGGCTGGACACAGAACACACATAAACATGGTCATATCCAGAGAACAAGAGACAGCTGGGAATAAGGCAGAGAGAAGGAGGAGCACGCGGAGGACCTCACAGCCTGGCATGGCACAGACCAAGAAGGCTGACGGGCTGAGCCTGGAGCCTGAGTCTGTCACTTACAAGCTGGGTGCCTATGAACAAGTTAATAAACTTCTCATCTGTAAAATGGGAATAACGGCAATTACTAAAGGGTTTGCACGCAGCAAAGAACCAGTGCAGATGTTGACAACTCTGGGCACTCGATAGTGGGACTCTTTTTTTTTTTTTTTTGAGAAGGAGTATTGATCTGTTACCTAAGCTGGAGTGCAGTGGTGCAATCCCAGCTCACTGCAACCTCTGCCTCTCAGGTTCAAGCAACTCTCCTGCCCCTGCCTCCCACGTAGCTGGGATTACAGGTGTCCGCCACCATGCCCAGCTAATTTTTGTATTTTTTTTTTTTTTTGAGACGGAGTTTCGCTCTTGTTACCCAGGCTGGAGTGCAATGGCGCGATCTCGGCTCACCGCAACCTCCGCCTCCTGGGTTCAGGCAATTCTCCTGCCTCAGCCTCCTGAGTAGCTGGGATTACAGGCACGCGCCACCATGCCCGGCTAATTTTTTGTAGTTTTAGTAGAGACGGGGTTTCACCGTGTTGACCAGGATGGTCTCGATCTCTTGACCTCGTGATCCACCCGCCTCGGCCTCCCAAAGTGCTGGGATTACAGGCGTGAGCCACCGCGCCCGGCCCCTAATTTTTGTATTTTTAGTAGAGATGAGGTTTCACAATGCTGGCCAGGCTGGTCTTGAACTCCCGACATTAGGTGATCCACTTACCTGGGCCTCCCAAAGTGCTGGGATTACAGGCTTGAGCCACCGTGCCTGGCCTAAGTCCCATAAGATTCTAATGGAACATACAGAGAAAGCTGATGTACGGTCCTTTATAAAGGCACTGCGGATGCAGCAGGGGAAATGGCTGTTCAGTAACGGTGCTGGGACATTTGGTTTTCCATATGAAAAATATGCATAAATAAAAATACATCTACTATCTAGGTTTGTGCAAGTACACACTCTGATGTTTGCACAACAACGCATTCACCTAATGACGCATTTCTCAGAACGCAGCCTCACTGTTAGGTGACGCACAACTGTATTTTAGTTGGACGTGGGGTTTTTACTGAGAGCTAAACAGCTTCCACTGAGAGTTCTGCCATCTACCTGTGGGGCTGTTTAATCAGGAAGTCCCCAAGATCTCTTCTGTAAACCTGAGATGACATTTCCTGTCTTGGGCAGACGAGCTGGATGGAGCCTGGGGGAAGCTGCCTGATGACGCTTGTCCCAGCTGGCGGAGCGCCTGTAACCCGGTCCTATGGAAATCTCTGTTCCAGTGGCCCTGCTGTGAGAGCCACATCTCAGAACCTGCAGGCGCAGGGTTCCCATTGGCCTCCGATGCAGGAAATGCCCAGTGTGGAAAAAAGACCAACTGTCCTCAGCACGGTTCTTTGATCAGAAACTCCTTTTTGGGTTCCTAGAAAGCCTGGTTTCAGAGACTCCGACCCTGGGACGGGCGACAGGCACGGCAGTTTCTCAGCGTCTCTGAGGACGCACGCCTCCCGCTCAGGTTGCGCTACCGCTGGCCGCGTGGTATGCTGAACCTGCACTTAGTCCTAGCATTTCATACGCTACCTGGTTTCGTGACTGCAAAACTTCTGCAGATGTGTTTGACTACCCAAAGAAAGAAAAAAATCTCAGGGATCCTTCAGTGTGGATCTTGACAGAACTGAGGCCAGCCCCACCTGCCTGCAGGGAGGAAGGGGGACTCCAGAGAGGCCAGGATAAGCCAGGGACTCCCTGCAAAACCTGGGCTCCAGAGTCCAACAGATCCTGACTCTGTCCCGTACTTGCAGGGTGAACCTAGTTAAGACTCAACAACTTGGGTCGGGTGTGATAGCTCTCTTGAGCACAAGAATTCAAGACAAGCAGGACAATATAGCAAGACCCCATCTCTACCAAAAACAAAAAAAATCAAAACATTAGCTGGGCGTGTTAGCATGTGCCTGTAGTCCCAGCTACTCAGGAGGCTGAGGCAGGAGGATCACTTGAGTCTGGGAGGTGGAGGCTGCAGTGAGCCATGACTGTGCCATTGCACCCC